AAGTAAATTCTTCATAAGTTCCTAGCACTTTAATAACGATAAACAGTGTTAAATGATAGGGTCGTAATCCCAATGGTATCAGGCTTAATACTCGCTAAATGTTCCTGAAGTAAGAAACCACCATAGCACTCCCGAAATGTCGTTGGAGTTGCACGGCAAAAGGAATGAACATCAGATATTCATAACAAGATAGAAGGTTCTCTTCAGCCTCGTCCTGTTTCAATTTCATAACACCGGGTTTTCTCGTCATTGTGTGTCCAGCCCGAAAGCCTTTACTTCTTTGATCACCTTGAGGAACTTTGTGCAAGTGAAAATCAAATTCTCACAAATCAATCAGCTTATACATCTACACTTAACGTGAATTGCCACAGGAATAGCCAATCAAACGAAAACATTTTTCAATTAAGCCAGACTTCTGACTAACATCCATCAGCTGGTCAAGTTTCCTGCGCACTGTTAGAATAAAGTCTATTTTTCTGCAGGTGCAGTTACCGCTGGGCTGTTTATTCTAATAGCAGGCTATTTCAATAATCCTGATGCTGTCATTGGTTGCATGTGCGTTGCCGGAGCATCCCTTGGATTGGTGTATGCGGGCTTCCAAGTTAACATGTTAGATATAGCGCCAAGAAACGCATCTGTCGTCATGGGCATCGTTAACGCAGCCAGTAACACCGCGGGCTTTCTCAGTCCCATGTTGGTTGGGTTCATAACTCATCACAAGGTGGGATTCACTAAATAAATTTTCAAGGCTGATAATCTTACTCCGTTGTGTGTCTAGACGTATTCGCATGGTACCCTCCCTACTCTGTACTAGCAAATTAACGGAGCGACCTATTATATATGTGTATGGTTCAGGGCGAGACGGACGAAGCGGGAGGGGATGTGGAAGGTGAGATCCACTAAATATATATGCTCGGCTGATAGTCTAACTCTGCCGTGTGGCTTGATGCAGTCCCATGGTATCCCCTTCCCCCCTCTCCCCTGTACTGTGGCTGACAAATTCGTTTCCAGGGCCTTTTCCCTTGATTGGGAGTGGGCCCCACCTAAGAGAAAGGGCCTCAAGACGAGGTTGGGGTGGCTGATAAACCTGTCTCAAGAATATTTTGACTTTGTTCTAATAGACTAAGAATTCGTTTGACTTCATCTTTAATTATTCCAGCCACTTCAACTGAAAGGACAACTTATCCCTAATATCTGTGCCTAAACTTTGCTTCTTTGCCTCTTGTTGCTTTTCAGACCGCGGGGGAATGGAGGACAGTTTTCTGGATAACATTTCTTATGTATGTCATTGGATCTATTGCTTTCATGGAGCTAATGACGGCTGACAGACAAAAATGGGACAAAGTTGAAGGTCTTTCGAGAGAACCCAGTTTAGACGTCGCCATTACACCAAGATAGATTTCTATTTTATTACTATAGATCTTCTATACAGCTAAAGAAAGATAAGATTTAGAACATTCCCATAAATCGAAACAGGGTTTGATATTTTTATGTAAATGTTTTTATAGATGTGTGTATTTTTAAAAGCTACGAAAGTATCCAAACTTCGGCACAAAAATGATAGGTTACAGATTCAAAATACGGATCAATACAATACGATACAACACGATATTCTTTATTTAACGAAGGTGACGTAATTAACCCAATGAGTTATCTAACTTACGGCCTTCACAACCCACCCATACCACCCCAGGGGAGGACATCCATCACACAGTAATCTCGTGCGTGGGAAATTAACGTCTCCTACCCCTAACCCTGCAGGAGACGGGACCTCCATTTATTCGTCCCTATCCGAGAAGACTAGAATATCTAACCATTTCTTGATGTTATAGAAAGGCAGCATATTCTTCTCAATTATTTTAAGACCTTGAGTGTTGGTCCGGCCGGGGCTCGAACCCTCGACCTCCCGCACA